AATACGTCAAAATCACAGCGTAACCCTGAAAATTGTACTTTGCTGAACAAAATTAGAAAAGGCCTAAACTGTGGGATCTCTCTATTTTTGGCTCAAGAGAGAAATTCTGAAGCTGCTGCTGATTTGAAATGGGTCCTGAAGAGAAGGAAGGAAGGAAATTAGAATTTTTTTTAACTTACAAAATTGTCTTGCCTGTGTAATAACACTGAGCATGACTGTCACTCTGAAGACATATTAGCTCATTTAGGTAATTAGTGTGAGCAGCATGTTTCCCTGCTTATTCCATTCAATTATAGGGTGCTCACTTTGTCATTACTGGAGTATCTTAATGTGACTTGTAATTAGTGTAATTACAATCCAATGTTAATTATATCTGCCACTTAGACATAATTTTATATAGTAATGGTCTTATTCTCAATAACCTTATTATGTTGTTTATTCAAACAGGAATTTAGCCTTCTTTCATGCGTCAAATATGGAGATTACAAAAAGTACTGCCTGTCATTTTTGTAGTTATGACTAGGGGATCTTTGCATTGCAAAATCATATTTGGGGCAATCAATGAATGGAGAAAACCAAATTATAGAGACTGATTATTAGAGACATGCTGAATTAACAAAAATCATTTGCACAGGAGGCACATTAAGAGATACGCTGGTTCACGAGTGCTGCAGAGAGAGGGCAGCGGCCATAAGTTAACGTAATAAAATAGCAAGACTAGATGTGCCAAAAAATCTTCTGGGAAAAGCTTCTCAGTGGCAAAGACACCTTTTAGCCCAGGGCTCAGGCATGTGATGGGGGGGGGGGGTTAATATTTTCAACAGCACTTTTGGGGGTGCAGCCACACTGTGGTGTTAGTTCAGACAAGGAGTGGGGGTTTGCGCAGTCTTCCCTGATTCCTGAGCATCACTTCACCTCGTGGGGCTGGGCTTCTTCAGGATGAAGCACAACCAAAAGACAAGCCCCAGGAAAACCCCTGATGCCCTGGGAAAGGATGCTCTCCCGTGGGACCAGACCACAACGAGCCAGAAGAAAAAGCCACCGAAGGCAGCAAAAAGGTTCTCAGCACCAGAATAAAAAGCCACCAAAGGCAGCAAAAGGGTTCTCAGCACCAGAATAAAAAGCCACCGAAGGCAGCAAAAGGGTTCTCAGCACCAGAAGAAAAAGCCACCAAAGGCAGCAAAAGGGTTCTCAGCACCAGAATAAAAAGCCACCGAAGGCAGCAAAAGGGTTCTCAGCACCAGAATAAAAAGCCACCAAAGGCAGCAAAAGGGTTCTCAGCACCATCTTGCTCTTCGGATCTGCTCCCACTGGGCCCCACCACTTGCTACAACAGCCATAAGCTCATCAGACAGTAAAGACCGAGTCATTCTGAAAAATAAGGTTTCTCTAGGAATTAGCCCCAGGCTTGGACCAAACTTTCAGGAAGTAGAGTGCTCCAGACCCAAATCACACCCTACCCCATGCGTACTTACCTGCTATCTCTAACATACAGTTACATATATTTAGCTATATTTAGATTAAAAAAACCCTAAAGCAGCCAGTCAAAAGAATGCACATATTTCTCCCTCCACAGAGGCCCGAAAGGACAAGGAACACATGACAAATATTAGTCATGTTATTTAATGCACGATGTTGGAAGAGTGGCATAAGAACCGGAGGAGCGGAGAAGGGAATTTGGCAGCTCTCTGGGAGATGGAAACCGAGATCTCCCCTAATCCATGTCTTTTACTGAGAGTCTGAAAAGGGTTTCAAGCTTTGAGCTCGCTCTTCGGAGGCTAATGAATCATTCAGATTTCCATGGCTCAGGGTGATGTCCCAAGACAGCTGGAAGCTTTCTTTGAGCTTAAGAAAATCAAGAAGTTGCAAAATGAAAGCAGAGAGTCAGTGAAAATAAAAGTAAATCAGGGGCATGTACACCGCAGAATGGTGTTATCGCTAACCCAGCTGGATAACCAGGAGACATTCTCCAGTACTGAAGAGAGGCTTAAGGAGCAAAATCCTGCCTTGTGAGTTAAGCCCTCTCCCTTTGCTCTCTGCGGCTGGGAGCCTTTCTCCCAGGTCCACGCGGTTCTCCACGCCGCCGATCTCTGCCTGGGACCAGACAGGCAATGCAAATTCAAAGGTTTGTTCTCATTCGCCTTCCCAGCTATCGCCCTTTAGGAAATATGTGTGCACAGGCACGTTCCCGCGTGAGCTACTGGAAGCAAACGCTGCCTCTGCCTTAGGCCCCTTCGAACGGCAACGAAGCGCTCGTGTTTCTCAGGATCATGCATAGCTTTTGAACTATTTTAGCAGTCTCATATGCGAGGCATTGCCTTACCCCCTTTATGTTCCGTCCACATAAAATAGAATTACTTTTACTACTAAATCTGTTGTATTAAGTGGATATGAAACCTGCTTAGATTTACTTTAAAACTGCCAGGCATCCTAGTATCACTCGATTCAAAAAAGAAATCAAATTTAAGATTATTTATTGACATTTTTAAAATGCTCCAAAGGAAAAACAAACGTACTTTTGCTGGTTTTGTTTCAGTGGTTGCACCAAACGTGTCTGGATTATCACAATTTTATAATCTTAAGGTTATTTTAACAAGACAGTCCCTGTTATCTGTGACTAGGAACTTCATAGATGAAAGTATCTCAAATACGACCAATAGCGCAGTGCGCAACATGCACAACATTGCGAGGGGAAATGGTCTGAAGTTGCACCAGGCCAGGTTTAGGTTGGACAGTAGGAAAAATTTTTTCAATTAAAGGGCTGTCAAGCACTGGAAGGGGCTGCCCAGGGAAGGGGTCGAGTCCCCACCCCTGGAGGGATTAAAAGCCAGGCAGACGAGGTGCTTAGGCGACAGGGCTTGGGGGTGGGATGGCAGGGGTAGGGGAACCGTTGGGCTTGATGAGCTTAAAGGGCTTTGCCAACCTAAATGATTCTTCTATGATTCTATTCTATGATTAGGTAGATACCTTAGCATTATGCAATCAAATATATCACCTGGTTATACAATAACTATAATCTATCCTTCATGCAATATAAATCTTACTGGTACTTCTGCAGAAATGGTGATTTCTGACTGGCTGCCAATTAAACCGTGTTTCTGCCAATAATGTTCAGTAAATTGACAGGCCTACCGGTTTTACTTGTTTTTTTTTTTTTTAAGAAAAACTCAAAGTCCATCTCCTAATAGCAGGCGGCGAATTTACAGCTCCCCAGTGATTAAAGTCACTCAGTCCTGTGCATTCTAACACCACACAAGGACTGCTGTAATCGCCTTGAAAAGCACCGCCTGTTGCATTTTATTGCTTAAATACAGTCAGCAGGGGCATCTCTGGAATGTGCATTCAAACCAAGGCTGCTCGTTAACTATTAACCAGCAGCCAGCCTAACTAAGTTAGAATCACAGAATCGTTTAGGTTGGAAAAGCCCTTTAAGATCATTAAGCCCAACCCATTCCCCTGCCCCTGCCATCCCACCCCCAAACCCTGGCCCTCAGCACCGCCTCTGCCCGGCTGTTAAATCCCCCCAGGGCTGGGGACTCGACCCC